TACATACATACACACACACACATATCCCTGTATTCCTATCAGGTTGCTCTCTTTTAGAGTAAGCAACTTTATGCAAAGTGAGAAGAGTGACCAGCAGTGACCAAAATAAGGAAATAAGAGGAAAGTTAACTATATCTAGTTTACACCAACTCCATTCACTATATCTCTCCCTATGTTTCAATGCCTGCAAACTATCCTTACTTCCACCACATCCCAGTACTATTTCATACATCACCTTTCATTCTTTCAATTTCTCACCTCTCTTTTTGAGGATCTCATCAGTTCCATCCAACCATGACTTACTCAGTCTTTCCCTTCTTCTTAACCCATTCACTTTTCCTTCATGTATTCATTTTATGATTGAGTCCTCATTCATTTGCTCTATTGTATGTGTTGAAACAAACTCAACATGCTTCTATTATCCATCATGTACTCTTACTTGAACTATATCTTTTTGTTTTACCACACAGACTTCTTAAGTAATCCTTTCCCACTGCTTTCAACTTTTGGGGGTGTTTCTCCTGACATGCTCAGTTCACACTTCCATACACATAGTCATTTTCACTTCTTATGACAAATTTTTCTTTCCTCCAACAGGCCCAATTAGTTTTCCTCTGCTTTTTCATCTCATTCCCATTCATATCAACAAACAGAACAGTTTTTATCTCTGGGTCACATTGATTCAGAATATTGCAGAGTTTTTCTCAATACTTATCTCTGGTTCTTCCATGACCATCATTTACTGGAGCTTGACATGCAACTATTGTCAGCCTATGGATTCCTGTTTTCATATGCAACTCAACAGTCCAAATGATACTAATTCATACTTTCTGGCATATACATTTTAGTCTTTTCCTTCCTAATTAAAGCGCCACTTCACTTCCCTGCATATATTCAACTCTAGTCCACAAGATCAGGCTCCCATTCAAATCCATCACATCCTTAGTTTTAGAAGCATACAATGTATGCTTTTCATTTGTTAATTCATGATTAACAATTTGCTCCTCTTATATTTTAAGTCACAATCTTACACGCTACTAATTTCAACTTGAAAAGCTGAAACAGATGTTAATCTCACATAAGAATGATGGACTGTTGGCCTGATAATATGCTGACATAGGAAACTCTAAAAACAGTTTCCAGCCTGGGGTATGAAGTACCCTAATACTGGCTTAGGCATTGCAAGCTGCAGGCACCTCAAAGTTAAACTATAGTGTGCAGAAAACAATGGAGTAAGCTGAAGGAACAGTTCTTGAATATGCAGTTGTCTCAGGATTTTTTTTTTTTTTTTGGTATTTATTTATGCTGGGATTGTCTAGCCCCTATCCCAATGTTGTAGCTTCTAGAGTCCCCTTCAACCAGTCACATCACTCAAAATCAGTGGCATGTTCATTTGCCACATTTTCATGTTTTAAACTTTAGAGGCTTAAACCATTGAAGTAGCCTTCTTTTATCCCTTCAGAGGGGGAAATCTTTTTTGTCCACAGCAGCCCACAGCATTGAAAGACAGGAGAGGGAACAGGGTGCATGAATATTGAGCAGAATTCATTGGGGAATCATCAAGCTGAATCCAAATGTCAGCTCTCCGCAAACTGAAGGGCTACCTCCTTTTGCAGAAGCAGAGGGGTAAAGTGGCAGTTTTCACCAATTCCTCTTTTCCCTTAGCATATGACCCTGGAGAATCTAAAAGAGCAAGTATTGGCAATGATCAAAGAATTCTCTCACCAAAACTCTATTAACCCATCTCCCACATTATTGCATTTATTCCATCTGAATCTTCCTGTAACTCCAAGTTTCTCCATTTCTCTAATTTTGAACTACTGTATCCATTAGTAGTCCTATGACCTTTCTCGATGCTGCAAATTTGCTACAGAATTCATAGCTTCTTGTATCTGAGGTAGGGACATACTTGTTCATTAAAATCTGGTTCTAAAACATGTAGTCTTGTCATTTATTGGGTTATAAACAAGCATGTAGTCAGTGATGTCCTTTTTTGTAACACTTCCATTGTTTCTTTGTGTGGTCTCACATCTTGTGTAGCTTTTTATATTATTATTATTATTATTATTATTATTATTATTATTATTATTATTATTCCCTGCTGCAATTCAGTGGGCTTTTGGTGGTTTACAAGAGGTACACAGTTAAAACATCCACAGCTGATTTAAAATAGTAAGTATATAAAATAAACTCAATCATGGTATAGTCAATTGAAAACAAAGAGGCTTAGAAAAATTTATTCTGAGCATAAAAATGGCAAGTGAAAAATTTGAGTTAATGATAAATATGAAAACAAAAACCAGCATGTAGACTGAACTTACAGTTGACAGGAAAACAGGGAGGGTGGCCGATATATCTATTTTTGGGGGCTCAAGAATAGCATTAGACAATGTACTGGAGAAATAAAGAGGAGATAATCCAAGGGAGGAATACAATGACAATCTTAAACAAGATCATGAAAGATCAGGATACTTTTATAACAGTAAAAAATCAGAACAATTTTTATCTGTATTAATATAGAGTTATGGAGGCTGGACATTGAAAAGGACTGAAAGAAAGATTTATTTATTTATTTATTTATTTATTTAAGTATCGAATTTAGACACCGCCCGTCTCATGAGGAAGTGACAAAAGATGCTTTTGAATTGTGGATTTGAAGATAATTCCTAAAAGTACCACTGAATCCAAGATGAAGTTAACACTGTCTGCTCCCTTCAGGAGATGAGCAGCAAGCAGTTCTCATATTTCTGCTGATGGACTCGAAAAAAAATGATTAGCAAGGTTGAGGGAAGTCGAAGAGGAAGACAAGACATAAGGGGAGGTGGATAGAATCAACGAAATTGTAAGAATATCCTTGGAAGAACAATGGGAACAGGGCAAGCTGAAAGGCATTTATCAAACATTTGCCAGGCAGGGTCTGGACCTGACTCTGTGGCCCTTCGCTATCTGCAGTTTCCAGAAAAAGAGAGACAGAGAGGGATATTATCCCAGTTAAGTCTCCATGGATTGCATAGTACTTGATATTAGGGGTTTTCTGACTGCTATAAGAGATGCACTCGTAGCAAAAGATCACATTAGGTTTACACACAGGCACACACTTCACTACTACAAAAACCCAGAGCCTTGGCTAGGAATGCAATCCTGCAACTAAGAGTACAAGGAGACTACATTCTGTTACATTTGTCAATGAGATACTAAAAAATCTAGTAGGCTAAAATAATTTTTCCAAGCAAAATCAGTAACTATGATATTATTTTCAAATATAATTACCAAGGACCACAGATGGAGAAACAGTTTTCCTTTAAATGTGTTCCAGGACTGGTGCTGGAAAAAGCTGCAATAATCTTGAAAACATATTGATGTAGTCTGCCAAAGGATTTCTGTCTTGGCAGGTCAAACACCCTTGGATTTCAGATAAATGAGGTGAGAGATATACATTAAAATAATGTCCTTCTTTTGTCCTTACGAGCCTTGTTACAGTGGCTGAACTTAATAGTACGTTACTCAGAATACTTTTTGATTTTTCCTTCTTTAGCTGTTTGCTATTTAAAAAAAAAAAACCACAACCCCAAGAGAAACAGTAAGTCTTAATAAAGCTATTCTTGCATAGATAAGACTTAGTCCTTAAGTTATTATCAGAACTAGTCAGTGGGCTGGCTCTCACCAGTTTTGCTGGCTTTTCTCATTGTACCATTAAAAAAAAAAAATTAGCACCGACTTAATGAGAACACAAACTAATGGATGTTTCAGAATTACTTCATTTGTAAACCTGCTTTGGATTGATGTGTAATTTCCTTATGGTACATATTTGGGTTCCAAGGAAGTTTCTTTCCTTACACATTTTAACTTTACAAATTCTAATTAACTAAAGATGAATACATATGTATGCTACAAATATAGTGAGGTTAAGTTAAGGAACTGACAACTCCCCGTCTCACGACTGATTAATGTTTTAAAAAGACAGTTTTTTTTTTTTTTTAATCACACACTGCATGTATTTGCGATAGAATGGAAAAAATAGGAAGGGCAGGATGTTTAAAATCAGTTCGCCTTCCAGAATGATGTCCTTTCAGCATTGTGCTTATGCTTACAATTAAGGCCTCACAAGGCTGCTGCTTTAAATTGTTCCCTGCAACAGACCTCTTCAAAAAACCCGAAGCATTGTGTGTATGGCAGGGGTTCTGCAGCTTTTTCTTCGTGACACTGTGTGCCTGTGAAGATACCGGAATGTCATTTAAAGTCCGCTGCCAGCGGTACGCTGGAATCTACTCGGCTTTGCTGGATCGCACTGCAGTGGCACCGAGAAAATGTCCCTGCTCTAGCAGCTAGCAAAGAAGAATTTAAAGCAGCTTTAATGGAGAGGCTTTGTATCATGTATCCAGACACAAAACCAGAGGATGGACACACATGCTCCGAAACTGCTTATTTATGAACAGTTAAGACAGAGGAAATGACCCATATCAGCCATAAAGTGACTGATCAATCTTTCCATCAAATATACAAGCCCACTTTGGAATGCAGAAACACATTACATCCTTTCCCAATTAGCTGGTCAGATTTGTTGTGTATTGCAATTCCAGATCCTTTGGAGGTTAGCCACAATTTTGTTCCATGCTCAGTGGATCCTTAAAAAAACTTTGCTCATGAATGCATCTACCTGCTTCTCAAATAATTGCTGTCCACGTTTTCTGCACTTTTTCTTCTTCCCTTAAATACGTCTAAATATATGCGTGTGTGTTGTGTGCATATCTAAATCTATGTAAATATATATATAGAGAGAGCATTTTACAAACACATTTGTATTAAATAATTTATGCACTCATGTTTTATTTCTGCTGCCCTCGGCTTTGACTTCGCCATCCTATCTGGAAGGCACACATATGCTTTTTGCAGAATAAGAGATCCCTGTGTCAGAAGTATACTGTAGGGGTGTATTATTGGAAAGCTGCAATCATTTGGACTGGGCAGGGTGGGGAGGGTTTTTTTTTTTTTTGGCTCCACAGTCAGAGACAGAACTGTAATGTCAGAGTGGGCAGTTTGACATTGGAGCCCCATTTCCATCACTCCACCAACCTCTGTGCTGTTTCCGATATTAGAAAACCACACGGGAAAGGCTCACAAGGGTGTGTGGCAGCAGGCTAGGAGGGGCTGAGAATACAAAGGATCCACAGTGCTTTCAGTCCTCATCCTGCCTCTTTACAATCACGAAGAAAATTGCACAAGCTTATAAACTAGTCTTCCTCCTGCTACTTCCAATAGACAGGAATAATAGTGACAGCAATAACACCAGCTATTCCTCTCTGATTTGGCCCTGCTAATCTGATGCTGATGCTGATGCTGGGAGGGCTTTGGAATAGTCAAAGCCTCCAATGTCAAGATGCCCCAACCCAGGATTTCAGTAACTCTGGAAATCAGCCGCAAACTTGGCCTTTGATGCAAAGCAAAGGCACAATTTGATTTGAAGTTAACTTTCATCACATCTGCAATGAATCTTGTCATTATTTCCTTAGTGAGACAAAATGTTACCCTCAAATGCAGTCGTAAACCACATTTCAATACTTGAAATTGAGGTACTACAATTTCAATATATGTAGATCTTTCTAATAGCAAAAGTTTATTCTGAATGACTGAGGCATTGAGAAGCAATTTTCTTTTCATGTGAAATCCAATGATCCTCATCTTTAACTACAGGTACTGTCGTCCCTAAGGGAGCATATGAGCATAAACTCATCTTAATGGAAGCAGAATGCATATCACTATATAAAGCATGTCGAGATACTTTCATGTCTGAGTGCAAAGGGGAGGGGGGCTATAGACCATATCTACATGCAGACATAAATAAAACACTTCAGAAAAATTGTGTATTTTGTACAACTATGTACAATGAGTAGGGAGGTTAATTCAATTTTCCAAAAATAAAGTTTTTTCACTGATGTGTCCTGCTGACCAACACCACCACTTTTTGAAGTTTTCAAAGAAGTCAGCTCCTCCCACACCCCTTTTCAATACTCTCTTGCTTCCTGAAATTGTCTGTAATAGTCTTCCTCCGAAGGATTTTCTGTACATTTCTGACCATTATTAGGTGGCCGGGCTTCATTGTACCTACTCCAGTCCCCTTTACAAATGATCCAGGGCAAAACATCCACTTTGTAATGAAGTTCTGCAGAGAACTCAATGCTGATCAGGTTGGGGGTGCCGGCCCCTTTCCCCCGGGTAATCAGCTGCATGCTGTCATCATAGCAGCAGTGCTGTGCTGCCAAGGTAGTGCTCTGCAAGGACAGCATGGACCGAATGCAATAGCGGGCACTAGGCTTATAGATCTCCAGTTTTTCTTTTGGCCCACTTGCATCTTTCCAGCGAAAGTTCTTCTTGTTCAGACGGTCATAGATTTCTGCGGTGCTATAAGCTACTTCGGTGGGATATGCACAAGGACAAGCAGGAAGATCATTGACTACCTTGTGCATGTACTTCTTTAAAAATTCACTTTTGCAACTCATCCACCTTTCACAGCTATCTGTATCTGAAGAAGAGAAAGGAGGACACAAGAAATCAAACATTGTATTAAAATTATAAGTGTATGATTTACTGCTTGGATTGGAATCTGTGGCCCTCTAGTAACATCTAGGAACTACAACTCCCAGCATCCCTCACCACTGGTTGTGGCTGGAGATGCTAAAGTTATCATGTGGCAACATCTGGAAGACCACAGGTTCTCCATCTTCATCTTACTGCGCTTCATAAATGTCAAAAGGCAGGTTTTGACCACAAGTAGCACTGTCAAGTTTTAATAAACAACTGCTTCACTTTTTAGTAAGTAATATTTTGCTCAATTGCTTCACAAGAGCCATATGCTTATCCCCTTAAATCAGCCATAAAACAATGCTTTTAGCCAAGGGACATGCCTGAGTTTTTAACTGATTGATGTTTACCTGTTTCAGTGTTTTAAAAAAGTCACAAGTCATGCTATCAAGCTGACTTAAATTGTTTTAAACAAGTATCCTTTATTGCAGAAGTAATTTTTTTTGTGTGTGTGCCTGCTGCCTTGTAAGGACTTTGCCCTAAAAGGCTATTTAAAAACATTTAAAAGTAATCCAATAAAGTAACATATAAATCCAGATGCTTTCAATATTGTTTTCAGAGGACAGATTCCTGGGCCTCAAAACAAATTTCTTAGAATCAATTTCAGTGACAGTTTGGATGTTTGCTATCCCTTCTCCCTGAATGCATATATTCCCAGGTTTTTTGTTTTTGTTTTTTTACAAAAGACAGATTCTTGAGCTGTCCTGGAGTTGAAGCAAGAATAATGTAATGGAGGGACACAAGAACATAAACTTTTTTGCACTTTCTTCTTATTATTGTCCAAAACAAAAGTTAGATTTGTCTTTGGCTACAATCCTCTCTTTTTTTAATAGCTGCACGAAGACCTAATTATTACTCTCTTTTAACTGATGATATTTAAACAGCCTCTTATAACTGAAGCCAGAAGTGGCTCACATTCCCTTTATAATATTTGGTAAGATAGCAAGAAATCTGGCCAAATCAGGATGTGCCATTAGTGGAATGCTCATGAGCAATAAGGTGGTGAATATGTATCTAAAGCCCAAATACTTTGCAAGTTTCAGGAAAATCCTTGGGCTCCTTTTTCCATTCCTAAGCAATCCTTTGACTTAATGATGTCCTAACCATTGTGGATAGGCCTTGAAAAGCTATTTATTGTTCATGAAGCCTTTCTGAACTTATTATATTCAGCTGTACTACTCAGTTCTTGCCTTTTGTCTTCGTGTGGTTGTTTAACTTGGAATGCCCGTGATACAGCTGGAAACAGTCATTTTTGATAGAATTTCTCTATTGGAAACTACAGATCTACTGGAAAAGGTTGATGGAGGCTGTATTCAAAACCCAGACAAATGTTGGCAGGGAGGGATTTGAGAGCTCACTTCATACTAGGGAACCATCTCTCTTTGTATACAGAGCCACTTCCTGTTGGCGTATACAACTGTGTCTCTAACATACAGTCTGAGGTAGTTGTCTTAAATGTAGCACTCCCCAGATGCTTTCAATCACAACTTCCATCCCTCTCAGCCAGTATGTGGTGATATAGATTATGGTTGTCAAAAGACACCTGAGGGAGTGAGGTTGGGCCTACCTATGCCACCTAGGCTAAGTCTATGAAAAAAACCACCCTTTTTGCTATAGTCTGCTTACCAACTTCAAAGAGCTTTGTGGCATTGAATTCTTCACTTCCTGCAAGCAAACTCACTTCTGTGGCTGCTGTTCTGAAGGTATCCTCGAGTCCTATATGAATTATTTGAAAGAAGAAAAAAAAGGGGGTTGTTTCAATAGTCCCAATGTACTTAGCAAGAGCAGATGCACAACAAGTATTTATTTTATAATAATTTATTTATTTAACAATATTTACAGCCTCTGGGCAGGATATAACAAAGTCAAGAGAAAACCAACACCTTAAAAATCAGATATACTGTACATAACAAACTTATCAACAAAGACCACTTGCCAGAGCACAATAAATCAGATATAACCTTACTGTTTTTGTACTCTGATATTCAGAATTGTCTTGAGATGAGTGCAGGTTTTTGAAACACTTTTTCTGGTATTTTGAAGTCCCTATTTTCAGGCATCATTAAAGATCACAACAATTTGGATAAAGGCAAAAACTACAAAGTAGCAGCAAAGATTTTCATTATCGCATGCTTGAAATGCCAGCGAATGACTGCTGTGCATTCCAACTGCATTATTAGCAGATCATTATTTAAAAACAGGATGTACTGTTGATGTTATGGCTTATTAAAACAATGTGACTGAGATGTTTGGCAGGGAAAATATTGGGGATATTCATCTATTCAGCTTTAAAGAAACCACTGTTCTGTTAGAGGACTCCTCCCAAGGATGTACAAATAGAGAAGGCAGTGGAGGGGGCTATCTTGGGATCCACACACATGGAGGACCCAGACTACCCTTGCTGCCAATCTTAACAACAACAACAGCAACAACCCTGGTCGCCCAGGGCCCCAAGAGGAACCGTGGCAGAGACGTGGCATGGAAGGAAGCAAAGAACACGTCAAGAAGGAACCAATGCAGCAGCAATTTTATTTCCTCCTTTGCTGCCACTCCTCAACTAAGTCAGCAACAACAGCAGCAGCCCACGTCCCCTTTGTCCTCTCTTTGTTCAGGGGACCAAGGAATCAAGATACATCCTATGTGGGGCTCAGGCCTGCTGTTGTGGCAGCTCCAGGGAAGACATGGCAGTGTGACTCTTTCTCCTGCTCTGCCTCAACTCTCTCATCATGAAGGGCACCAGAGAGGTCCGTCTTAGGCCTCAGTCTGCTTAAGCTATGGGCTACTTCCCCTCATAAGAGGAGAAAGCTGTTCCTCAACTTACTTATGTTTGGCTGGCCCAGCCACAAGACTAGAGGAAGGAGTCACCCGATTCTCTCCTCTCCCCCGTACAGCCTGTTATTCAACAGTTCTCTGAGACAGATAGCAGCAGCTCATAGATGCTGCACATAGATCATTGGAAGAACATCTTGAAATACCGGTGTGGGTGCTCTGCCTGGAAAACGATGCCCCCATCCAAATTCCATCACTTTCAGACAGTATTGGGATGCAGACAGCTGATGAAGAGCAATGGGGCAGGAATCCTAAACTAGAAAAGCTATTGTCTCAGGCTGAATGCATTAAATAATCCCAAAAAAGCAACTTACTGTTTTACAAGTGTATGTTTTTGTCATCATGTATTTATTTATACAAAATACAGTATGTATGCCACCTACATCCTTGAACTCTGGGTAATTTACAATCAACCCAAAGTATAAAAATATAGCAGGTAATGGATAAAAATCCACTAGCAAACTAGCTGCAAGACAACCCTCACAGCATCGGCTCCCAAATACAATGCAGAATAGCAGGTCGTAAAATTCTCCCTGAAGGCCAGGAGATTCAGGGGATCCACACTTTGGGAAACAAGGAGTTCCAAATTGTGTGGGCAGCTTCTGAGAAAGCATGCTACCATCCTCCCTTCACCTCATGCAGGGTGGGAATCGTCAGTACGTGCTCCTTACAAGAACACATGGATGGGCCAAATCTTGTGGAGCAGACAGTTCTGTTAAGTAACCAAGCTATGGGGGGCTTTAAAAGTAATAAAGGTCCTGACAAAGGGCATCTAGTAGGGAGATCAATATTGTTTCCTTCCATGTTCAGGTCTGGAAATTGGCTAGAAGAGATGTAGGACCCTCTGTAACTGAAGCCCCAATATGTTCTCCAAAACCTTTCTTAAAAGGGAAGATTGGAGGTTGGCTAATAATTGTCTAAGGTAGCTGGACTGAGAGGTCTCTTCAGAAGGAAGTTCACCATTGCCTCCTTAATGATGAATGGCATTCCCCTTCTTCAAAGAGGTGTTAACTACCTCTCAAATCCAACCACACGTGCCTCACCTAGCTGCATGAATAAGCCAGTTGGAACATGAATCTAGCTTACACATAGCAGAGTACATATCCACATCTTCAGTTTTCAAAGCTCAAACAATCACTTGCAATTCACCTCACTATCCCTTGCCAGGGATACTGGTATCCAACTCTGAGCAAATGAAAATGATTCTACTTGCAAAGAACTTTGCTAACATTGGCCTGCAGGAATATCTTCACACTTGTCTCTAGGAACAAAGCTGCTAGATATAAATCTGCAATGGCAGTAACAATGGAGAAGTATGCACATTTCACCATTCTTATATCCATGTTATTCTCTCAAACATGGGTTATGTTCACCCTTTGTTTTCCTCCACCATTGCTCTAGGTATCTTTTCACCTCCTTCACCTTGCACAGCATCTCAATCAACCAAGGAACCCATCAGGATTCATGAAAGAAGATAGGCTGTTTGGGGCAATCTTTCCCAATAGCAATGCACTTGCTCCTTTCAATTCCAGAAGTCAGCAATATGCATGGCAGAACTGCCCACAAGATAGCTGGGAAATTCCACAGGTGCCTCAGAAAACGCAATGGGTCTATCAGTTGCATGGGGCAGACCATCTTGATTGGTCCCTCATCTTTGCAGAGGTCCAGTATGCCAACAATGTGTGCATAAATCAGAAAGTGATCTGACTACAGCAAAGTACAGTTTACAATGTCTTGCATTTTCAAATTATATTGCATCTGCTCTGATCTGTCTATCAGGCTTGAGACTTCTGGGACAGGCCCATGGTTGACATGGAGGCCATGAACACCTGAGTTCACTCAAATCCCATCCCCAAGGCATGGGGTTTACAGTCCCCAGTACTCCCAATAAGAACTATGAAACTTTTAAGGTAGTCAAACCCTCCCGCTACTCAATATTCTGCCATTTAGATTCTTCACGCTGCATTGAGAAATTTGGAAAAGCAGCAAAATGGATTTCCTATCATTTCAGTCTATCATTATCTGTATTCTCATTTTCCTTCTTGAGTTTGCCTCATACAAGCCTGCTATTTGAAGCTGTTTAGAACAGCCAAATTATAAATGATTTCAGGAACCTGCCTTTTCACATGCAGTAATGTATGAATATCATATTTTGTGCCCAAGAAGAGGTTTGAATTCACTGTAATTCTACTGCTTGCATTAAATCATCAAATAGCCAAAACCATGTTTACCTGTGTCAGGGGAAAAACCTCGTTAAACACGGGAGACAGACACACCAGAACATAAGTCACTTC